CCCCCCCAAAACCACTTTTGTCTGTTCATTCAATGCTTTTCAGTTTTCTCTTTTACTTTACCTGGCAACGTGTCCATTATGGATCACCTTAGAGTTAAGCATACATTTGATGGTTTTCCTATGCCACTGAATATATCTGGCCAATGCAAAAGCTCTGCTGACAAGTTGTATCTTTCTCAGGTGAGGGCAAAGCTCTCTACTTTCAGTGGATTTGGAGGGCCTCAAGAGGTTACCTGTGGCGGCAATGCTCTAAAGTTTTATGCTTCAGTGCGTCTAAATATAAAAAGAGTCGGGAGCATTCTTAAAGGAGAAGAGGTATAAATTCTAGTTGAAAAATGTCTACTTAGCGATGGGTCTTCTTTGACCTTGTGCTTAATCTCATTGGATTTTACTATTTTTTGTCATGAGGAAAATCTCATGGAGCAAAGCTGATTTTTAGGATGTTGTGATATAGACATGCTTCTCTTTTACAGACAATAGGAAGCCAAGTTTCTGTGAAAATTGTGAAGAACAAGCTTGCCCCTCCATTTAGAACGGCAGAATTCGAACTTGTGTTTGGTAAAGGAATATGTAGGGAATCGGAGCTCATATCATTAGGCGTGAATCACAAGTTCATTTCAAAGATGGGGAATGCATATTATGGCATGAACGGCCAGACCTTTCTTGGCAAAGAAGCTCTCAAGCAGCATCTAGCCGATGACATTACTGCAAGAGAAGATCTTATTATGAAATTAAGGGAAAAGCTCATTCATGATGGGGCCAATAAAGACGCGGCTACTGCGGAGAGAACTGTGAATGGTAACCACATTGAAGAGGTTGTTTCAAGTGACTCTACTGATGATGAAACTGCTGCTGCGGCATGAAAGCTGGGGAAGAATTCAGACATCTTTCCTCGGATTTCATCTGAAATTGTACGTTTATAGCAAAGTACCTAACTCATGGTCTTCTAGGCTAGACCTGATCGGCGTATACATATTGCTCTCTAACCAAAGTAGCTTAATTGATCAAAACTTTTCAGGTTCATGAGGGTGTAGTAGGGGCAGGTCCCATCTTCAATTTTTGTTACATGATCTAAACTGCTAATATATATGCTCTCTTATTTGCACTCTGTATATAGTCAGTAATGAGTCTTATGGGAGTTCTGTGAATGAGCTTTTTTTAGAACTCTCTTTAAGGTCTTATGATGGTGTTTTACTTGATTGTTCCCCAAGTTCTCCATGTTGGTTAAGGTTGCTGTTAATTTTGTTGAAACCCCTATTGTGGGGTTCTACCTTACTTTTGATGTTAACTACTCATGCAATGTGAGCCAGGTGACACATCTTGGGAAGGGGTATTGGGGCATTTCAATACATTTCTGGTGCATGGTAGGGTACCCCATCTGCCCTAAAACTACACATTTGCATGTATCTGAATGAAAGAAATACTCCCTAGCTGCTAAACTGGTTGGAGTAATTAATTTTATATGCAATTATCACCTTAAATAGTTTGGAGTGAGAGGAGTGTATTTGAGGTTGTGTCCTCATCTGAGGGGCTGCCTTCTGTTGGGCTTCCCTCTTTGCTTTCGGCCCCGCTTGGCATCATTAGAGATTAACATTAGCATTTTTAAAAGACTATCTGACGGTAGCCTTTAGCGTTAGCGTTTTTCAAATTAATCTACACTGTTGGTATTTTATCCAAAACGCTAACACTAATTGAAAACATTGTTTCCAAACAAGACCTTTTGTATTTTGGACCTTTTATTTGAAGGGGTATTTTGGACCCTTTTCTTTTCTAAAAAAAAGCTTATTTTTGTTTGAAAAAAAAGCATTTGGAGTGAATCACTAATTAGCGTTATACGCAATTATCTCTTCTCATCTTTTGTGATGTTAATTACTCAATTTGTTGCAAATAGGGTTCCAAATTTGATAGGAATATGAAATTTTCTAGTTGAGATTTATGCTGAGGAAAGATTACATCTCTCTTAATAAAACTCCTTCAAAATTTCTACTACCCCGTACCTTATTATAAATCTATGTAGTCAAGATGTTTTAAAAGATTTTTGACTGCTTTTAAGAATTTAGCTTCTGCTTTGAGTGGAAGTTGTTTAACTCTCTTTGGCATGTTAGCTTTTGCATTTCTCCACCACTATTTTATACACAGAACACCGTTTCGGAAAAGCAGTGATGAGGTGTTTTTGCTTTCAGCTTTTGTAAAAAACACTTTATCTACAAGTTAATCAATAACAATTTAGCTATATTCAGTTAGGATTTTTTTAAAAAGAATATTTACAAATTTACTCCCTTTGTCAAATGTAATTTCCATATTGATCGGGCAGGTAAACTTATGTTAAAATATATTTTTGTGTATTCAATAAACTTAATTTTTCCCATTAAAGTTTTGAAATTTCACTTCTATCTTAAAAAAAAAGGTATTGTTATTGTTACATTTTCGTTAGAAAAATTAAATTTTTATTATTTTGTGTTAGTTGAAATTAAAGCTAATTATGCTATTAAATTTTTATCCATAAAAATTATTGATGGTCAAAAATCACCCACTAGAGTGACATAAGAGTTAGAGATGGGGACAATGTGAGTATGCAAACAATAGCTTGAGAGTAAGAGCTTTCAAGAAAATAACACAAAGAAGTAAGATTAACTTGAGTTTTGATCTTTTTAATGTTGTTCCGTATTCGGTTGCTAGTTGAGTACATGTTTCATGATGATTTACAAGTATGCTAGATTGATGATAATCATGAAGCATGATTATCACTCATATAACATACTTGTAAATTATTATGAAGCATGCACTCAACCAGCATAAAGTATTCTAATAAGATTAATAATTAAAAGTGAGTTGAAGAGACTAGCTCCTATTTTGGAAAAGGAGAAACTTTCTAAATAATAGTAAAAAATGATGAAAATGTCAAATAAGAGTTCTAAATCTTTTAAGACCAAAATAAGTGTTTATACTGTCAATGTTACACTATCACACTTACTACATTGTCGCACTATAAACTATCTCACTATCACATGTCATATGTCAGCGTCGGCCACCAGAGTGCTGTCACCGATTGCCAAGACCGATTGCCAAGAGTTGACAAATCACACTGTTATATACTCCCTCCGTCCCCCTAAGATGTTCTCATTTTGACTTTTGGTGGTTTTTAAGGAGAGTTGAAAAAAGGTGAAAGTTTACCCTAATACCCTTAATGAAAATGGGTGGAGTGTATTAAATGAGGTGGGTGAGGTGTAATAAATAAAGTAAGTGGGGGTAGTTGTGGTATTTTAATGGTTAAAAAAAGAAATGAGAAGATCTATTGTGGACAAAGAAAAAGGGCTATTGGGAAGATCTATGGGGGACGGAGGGAGTACATCGTAATCATTTTTGAATCACAGTACCATTATATTTTTATTTTGGTCTTGAAAAATTTTTAAAACTCTTATTATTTGACTCTTATCAAAGGAAAATCTTTGTACTCGCCGGCAGGCGGCAGCAAGCGGGCGGATTCTGTATTTTCTGAGTCAAGCTGTATAAACCCTAAATCGATTCAGACAGATCAAGATCACGACAAGCATACAGGCCGGAGTTTTGAGATATGGGGGCGGAAATTGAAGAAGACGGACTGAAGAGACTAGAGTATCTTTCTCTAGTTTCCAAGGTTTGCTCGGAGCTCGAGACTCATATCGGCGTCGCGGACAAAGTTCTGGGGGAGTTTATCACGGAGATGGGCCGGAACTGCGAGACCGTCGACGAATTCGATGCCAAATTGAAGGAGAGCGGCGCCGAGATGCCGGATTACTTCGTCCGGACACTTCTCACGATAATCCACGCGATTCTTCCTCCCTTGCCTAAGTCTGGATCCGATCAGGATGATGCCAAGGAGGCCGAGAAAAGTGGCAAGTTTTCTGCTTTGAAGATTAAGGATGATAAAGCTAGAGTGAAGGAGCTGGAGAGGGAGATTGAGCTCGAAACTAGGAAGAATCGTGGGAATGATGGAGACGAATACAGACGGGATAGAGACGGCCGTCGAGATAGGAGACGAGAGAGGGATGCAGACGAAAGAAGAGATGTGGACAGAGATGGTAGAAGGGATAGGGATAGGGAAGATAGAAGAGATAGGGAGAGGGAAGATAGAAGAGATAGGGAAAGGGAAGACAGAAGAGATAGGGACAGAGGAGATAGAAGAGAGAAGGGCAGAGATGCTGAGTATAAAAGTCATGACAGAGACAGGGATAGGTACGAGGGGAGGAAGAGAAGAGAATACGATGAAGAGGATAGGGATGGAGATAGAAGGAATGCTGCGCATGGATCGGATGAACCTGAATTGTATAAAGTGTATAAGGGGAGAGTGTCCAGGGTAATGGAAACAGGCTGTTTTGTTCAGCTGGATGAGTGTAGAGGAAAGGAAGGGTTGGTTCATGTCTCACAGATGGCTACTCGGAGGGTTGCGAATGCCAAAGACTTGGTGAAGAGGGATCAGGAGGTATACGTGAAGGTTTATTCGGTGAGTGGGCAGAAATTAAGTCTGTCCATGAGAGATGTTGATCAGAAAACTGGAAAGGATTTGCTACCGCTGAAGAAGAATAGTTTGGATGACAATGATGGTTTGAGAGAAAACCCGTCTGGGAGGAATATGGAGGAGGGGACGGCTAGGAGTAGAATCGGTCTCTCGGGGATTCGGATCCTGGAGGAGGATGATATAGCAGTGCCTTCGAGAAGGCCATTGAAGAAAATGAGTTCTCCTGAAAGGTGGGAGGCAAAACAACTCATGGCTTCAGGCGTCTTACCCCTCAAGGAGCACCCAATGTTTGATGAAGAAGGGGATGGATTTTTGTATGAGGACGAAGGTGCTGAAGAGGAGCTTGAGATCGAGTTAAATGAAGACGAACCACCTTTCTTACAAGGTCAGAGTCGCTACTCAGTTGACATGTCTCCTGTTAAGATCTTCAAAAACCCAGAGGGCTCCTTGAGTCGGGCAGCTGCACTTCAATCAGCTTTGATAAAGGAGAGAAGGGAAGTAAGGGAGCAACAGCAGAGAGCAATGCTTGATTCCATCCCCAAAGATCTAAACAGACCGTGGGAGGATCCAATGCCCGAGACTGGTGAGAGGCATCTTGCCCAAGAACTTAGGGGTGTCGGTTTGTCAGCCTATGACATGCCAGAGTGGAAGAAAGATGCTTACGGTAAAACACTCACGTTTGGGCAGAGGTCAAAGCTTCCCATTCAGGACCAAAGGCAGAGTCTACCCATTTACAAGCTAAAGAATGAACTGGTCCAAGCTGTACATGATAACCAGGTCTTGGTTGTCATTGGAGAGACCGGTTCAGGAAAAACGACGCAGGTTACACAGTATCTAGCAGAGGCAGGTTATACTACAAAAGGAAAAATTGGATGTACCCAACCACGTAGAGTGGCTGCAATGTCAGTGGCAAAGAGAGTTGCTGAGGAGTTTGGTTGTCGGTTAGGGGAAGAAGTTGGGTATGCCATTCGATTTGAGGACTGTACAGGGCCAGACACCGTCATCAAGTATATGACAGATGGTATGTTGTTGAGGGAGATATTGGTTGATGAGAATCTTTCTCAGTATTCTGTTGTGATGCTTGATGAAGCTCACGAGAGAACCATCCATACTGATGTTCTCTTTGGTCTATTGAAGCAATTAATTAAAAAAAGAACCGACCTCCGGTTGATTGTCACATCTGCCACTTTAGACGCGGAGAAGTTTTCCGGTTACTTTTTCAACTGTAACATCTTTACTATCCCAGGGAGAACCTTCCCGGTGGAGATACTCTACACGAAGCAACCAGAGAGCGACTATCTTGATGCATCTTTAATAACAGTCTTACAGATTCACTTGACAGAACCCGAAGGTGATATTCTCCTTTTCTTGACTGGTCAGGAGGAGATTGACTATGCTTGCCAGTGTCTTTATGAAAGGATGAAAGGTCTGGGCAAGAATGTTCCAGAATTGATCATCTTACCCGTTTACAGTGCCCTTCCAAGTGAAATGCAGTCTAGAATCTTTGATCCTGCCCCTCCCGGGAAGAGAAAAGTTGTCGTTGCCACAAACATTGCCGAAGCTTCTTTGACTATAGATGGTATTTTTTATGTCATAGATCCGGGTTTTGCTAAGCAAAATGTATATAATCCCAAACAGGGTCTTGATTCGCTGGTCATAACACCTATATCACAAGCCTCTGCCAAGCAACGAGCTGGTCGTGCTGGCCGAACGGGACCTGGAAAGTGCTATCGTCTTTACACTGAGAGTGCATTTCACAATGAGATGTCCCCCACGTCGATCCCTGAAATTCAGCGTATTAACCTTGGGATGACTGTGCTTAATATGAAAGCAATGGGTATCAATGATCTTTTGTCATTTGATTTCATGGATCCTCCCACTCCTCAAGCCCTAATATCCGCCATGGAACAGCTGTACACTCTTGGTGCTCTTGATGAAGAAGGGCTTTTGACAAAGCTGGGCAGGAAAATGGCTGAATTCCCTCTGGAACCTCCACTGTCCAAAATGCTTCTTGCCAGTGTTGACCTTGGGTGCAGTGATGAGATTCTAACCATCATTGCGATGATTCAAACGGGCAATATTTTTTACCGGCCTCGGGAGAAACAAGCTCAGGCTGATCAGAAAAGGGCTAAATTTTTTCAGCCCGAGGGCGACCATCTCACCTTGCTTGCTGTTTATGAAGCATGGAAAGCTAAAAGTTTCTCTGGACCCTGGTGCTTTGAAAACTTTGTACAGTCGCGGTCGTTGAGGCGTGCACAGGATGTCAGAAAACAGCTCCTCTCAATCATGGACAAGTATTACTCATTCTTCTATCATGTTTGTTACATTTTTCATGAAAATATTGTGATTGTCTAGGTCGAATCGGAGTATTATTTTCTTTTATTCATCTAAACACACACACGCGCATACATAGAGGAGGTTTGATGTTGCAACAATTTATTTTACATAAATTCTTACAACACTTATATCTTTCCCTTGAAACTTACTAACACATAAAACACATAGAACATCCCAACAATCTACAACCCTCCTCGTATATATGCTGTGTTAAATAAATTTTCAAACAGCCATTTGCCTTCAGCAACTTCAGTACAGATTGAGCCACTTCAGCTATTTAAGCCTTACCAAACAGACTCCAAGCTAATTTTGGCTACCAAATGGCGCTTATTTGTTATTAAATAGAGACTATAATGTTAGATGCAAATGTAAATGAGAATCTGATTGCTTTAGTTCTGTAGGAATTCCTTTTTTGCTTATCCATCCTGTTATGTTCTTTCTTTAGGTACAAATTGGATGTTGTGAGTGCTGGGAAAAATTTCACAAAGATAAGGAAGGCCATAGCTGCAGGCTTCTTCTTCCATGCCTCCCGGAAGGATCCTCAAGAGGGTTATAGAACCCTAGTAGAGAACCAACCCGTCTATATACACCCAAGCAGTGCCCTATTCCAAAGGCAACCAGATTGGGTCATCTATCATGAGCTCGTCATGACAACCAAAGAATATATGCGCGAGGTCACCGTGATCGACCCAAAGTGGCTTGTAGAGCTCGCACCAAGATACTTCAAAGTGTCCGACCCGACCAAGATGAGCAAGCGAAAGAGACAGGAACGCATTGAGCCCCTCTATGACAGGTATCATGAGCCTAATTCTTGGCGGTTGAGTAAAAGACGCGCTTAGCCCTACACTTGAGAATATGACCCTTGAATGGCTTCCATATTTTTTGTTGATTACACATTTGAGAGATCTAGTAAATTATCTTTGTCAACAAAGATGGTCCAAAGAGTGTGCCAACTTATTACCCTCTTCTGTAGAAACTCTTGGGATTTTAACTAATTGAAATGGTGGTTAAGAATGCCACGTGATAAGAGGCTGAGCACGAAATCCCTGTGTAATACTATGTTGATGTCCTGTGCTTATTTTGATTTGATACCATTATGAAATGTTTATTCTCAAACTAGTGCCAAAAAATAGTTTGATTCTATTACTGGTACCAGACTGTTTTAGACACTTGTTTGCAATCAGGATTGGCTGTTAGCGAAATGTAGAGAGTAGAAAACGAGAAATGACGCTTAGAAACACACTTCATGAATGGTACGGAGTTGAACCAAAGATAGGAAAATAGAACGATGATTATGTGACGAAAGAGTTATATCTCACTAGCTTAATAAATTTTACATGTTCTGTTTAATTTTGTTCGAAAATAAATCATTTAATTAAAAAATTGCACAAAGCATATACTCGGAATAGCATTTCTTATAAAAATCAAGAGAAGTGCAAAATTTATTTTGAAATAAATGAAAAAATGTTCTACTTTATTGAGGTCCTCAATGCCGATGCGCCCCAAAATGTCGTCGGGTTTACCATTTTTGTCTTGCGATAACTTTTGTTTATTTGTGTGTTTTATCGATTATTCGATAAAATAAAATATTGATGTCACATCTTGTTTTATAGAACTTTGTATGCAGCTTTCAAATATATAATTTATACTTTTATTAATAATTTATATGACAATTTATAAGTAAAAAATAATTTTGAAAGATAAAAGATTTTGCATATTGTTCGAAGTGACACAATATTTTTCGTACGGACGGAGTAATGTTTTAACCAACAATATTTATAATTACATAAATACGTAGTACATATCAACAAATACGAAGTATTATAATATACTCCGTAGTATTTAAAAATTGAAATTTAAAACAAACTTAACGATATTGCATTTAAATCATGGGGTACAATTTGGTGTTCACACTGTATTTAATATTCCTTTTGTAGCATAAATTTTTCTCACTTTTCAGTTTCATTCGTTTAAAAAAGAATTCTATTTTTCGAAGAAAAGAATTTCCTGGTTACAAAAATATATCTATTATATTGATCAATTATAGTCATACGTTTTCCACTATTTAAAGCTTCATAGAAGTCATAAGTCAAAGTCGGAAATTTTTTATAGAACGAAGGAAATACAAGAAACATAAAATGAGAAATGTAAACTAACAAGTAACAATAGCTGTGAATAAAAAAAATGAATTTCATAAGTTTCTTTTAAAAAAAAAGTGATTTCATAAATTCTAAAGGAGACAATGAACAAACATGTGGTTACGAATTCTAAAAAAATGCAACGAAATGTGTCTGAGCCCGGGTTCGAACCGGGGACCTCTAGTGTGTGAGACTAGCGTGATAACCAACTACACCACCCAGACGCTTGTTGATGTGTCGAACGTAAAACAATAATTCGGCTATAAAGTTCTAAGGCACAAGGAAACAAAGTTTAAACATCATTAAAAAGCATAAAAATAGTTCTTAAACTATGAAGATCTAAAGCTTACATACTGCATGCATTATACTCCCTCCGTCCCACTGTCTTTGTCCACTTACCTTTTGGCACACCATCCAATGCATTTCTTTAATCCATTTTATCTTGTAATTTGTATATTAAAAAATTATACAAATTATATATTAATAATCTATATGTTAAGACGAATCAAGCAAGATCACACATGACTATTTTTAGGCTTACACATTAAGAGAATTTGATGAGTCAAAGTGCTTAGATGAACAGTTCCAAAAGTCAAAAGTGGACAAAGACAATGGGACGGAGATAGTATATAGGAACTCTCCTCAAAAAGGTAAAAACTGTGTGTGTAGCTTAGGACTCCTGAATAATTCTCTTCTCTAAAAAGAAATTTTATTTAGTCGTGGCATATTAGGATGTTCCAAAAAAGAAAAAAATAGAAGAATGAAACCAATTCCTAGAGCCCTTTCAAACATCTTACAAGCTCTAAATGAAAAATACTCTAAGATATAAACCCTAAAGGAACAAAAATGTGTTCCGTTATTTTAGCAAACAAAAATATTACAGTACTACATTTATTACAAAAGTACTACTTTGTATGTACTCCCTCCGTCCCATGAAGTGTTACCCAATTTGACTAAAGTTGAAATTAAGGGAGAGATTATTTTGTGTTGACTTTCCAAAAATACCCTTGATGTGATGGATAAAAATAGGATGTGATGTGTAGATTATTAGGAAAAAGGTATGATGTGATAGGTAGGGTTTGAAAAAGTAAGGGGTAAGAGTTGTTTTTTAATAGAAATGCGTAGAGGATTGTGAGACGCAATTTTTTTGAAACATGTAAATCTTTTTGAGACGGATGGAGTATTTATTAATAATCTATTGATTGGAAACTGTGGCTTATGATTAGACAGGGATATTCAGGTAAAGTTATTGTCATTTGTTATCGGTTCTTCAAATATTACTTTCCTATTTATCTTTAACGAGGATCATTTACTCAATATTTTTCATAGTTCTTATGGTTTTTTCCTATTAGTTCCCATTCAATATTTGCTTCAACTTTGAACTTTTTATTTATACTCCCTCCGTCCCGAAGTATTCGTCTAGTTTTGACTTTTGAAACTGTTCATTTAAGTACTTTGACTCATCAAATTCTCTCAATGTGTAAGCCTAAGTATAGTCTCGTGTAATCTTGTTTGATTTGTCTTAACATATAGATTATTTATATGGAGTAATTTTTATAATTTTTTAATATACAAATTACAAGATAAAATGGATTAAAGAAGTATATTGAATGGTGTGTAAAAATGAAAGTGGACAAATATTCTGGGACGGAGGTAGTATATTGAATGTATACTTAAAACTCTTTGAATTTATGATTTCCCTTTTCTTGCAAGGAGATGGGAAGGTCTTTAGACATTCATTAAGTTATTTTGTCCGCTATACTCCAAAGTCAAAATCAACTTGTGAGAAACAAAATACCAACTAGAAATGTTACATAGCACATTTATAACTTCATGGTGAAGGTATGAATTTGCAACCCTTTAATCGACTAAAATGTATATTCACAATGCGACTTTGTTAATATGTTTTTTTTGAACAAACGCGCAAATTTATTCACCTCAACCCACTTCATCAGTACATCAACATGTTGAAAACAAAACCAACGAATTCAAAATAAAGACTATCACAAACACATACTCCTAAGCTTAAACTTAATAAAGGATTTCAGATGAGATTTGATCCATTCCTTGCTTTCCCCTGCTGAAATTCTGCCAATCATACACTTTCTGAACTTCATAACTCTCAAGGTTGCTCATCCCTGCAAAAACATTTCTATTGAGTAGAAGTTTCCTCAGATAGAAACACATTCCAAATTTGGGTGGGATGTCCCATAACTCTCAAGGTTGTGTTTTAAGAAAATGTCTACTGTTTTCCATTGAACCGTATTTTTTTAAATATTTTATCTTTTCCACATCTACAAACAGGTTTTATATTTCCCAGGCCTTTAAAAAGTGCAAAACACAACATTACCTTTTGGTAACTTTCAACATTTAAAGAAATTTTTGTGTGGATGCACATACATACCATAATTATTATGCCATAAAAGAAGAATTAAAACAAAAACGTCATCCATATCTTATAACTTAATAATGATTCTTCCAAACACCAAATGACCTCTAAATAAAGTTCATTAATGAGATCGATTTTGACTCTACCTGCACACCCCAGGAAATTTCATTTAGGGTATTTTTATCATTTTTTCAATGGATTCTTTGTTTAGGTTTAGTTAATGTAAAAATAGTATGCTGTTGTGGCATTACTTTACATCTTTTGGTGACATTTGGCTGTTTTTTGTCAACTGATTTTGGACTATTTTAGTGAAGGTAACCTCATTGGTAGGATATGTTGAGACCATGTTTGGTTCGATGACAGAGTGGTGAAGGACAACAAAGTTCCCATCTAGAAGCTGTAAAGGAGGAACATTCACCTTCTGTGTTTGTAATTAAACTCAAAACCAATTGGTGAAGATCAAGTACAAGATATTGTGAAGCTTAATTATAGCACATCCAAAAGATCAAGATTTTGCACTCATGTATATACATTCTTTTCTTGAGAAAGAGAGCCTTACGAAGGAGGAAATTAATAATGCTTTTCAACAACTCCTTTGATTACTTTTGGTTTCTTTTTTTAATAACCATTAACTTTAAACGTTCTTCTGATCTAAATCTTTTGCTTCATCCTCTAATCCAAGCCCTTTGTCTATGTCATGAGGGCATCTAACTGTCTTTAATTATCAACTATTAGAGTGATTAAAACAGGATGAAGGTTGTATCAACTATTTATCACCCTTATGAAGAATTATACACCAATTATCAACTTTTTATTGTGTATTTACTAGAAGAGAACTATGCTTATTTATGCTGCTAGATACTTCAAATTTAGTTTTGACTTGGTAGACTACAAACATGAATTGCTACCCTTAAATGGTTGCACCATTTCTCAAATTTTCCCCAACATGTATCCAAAATTGAGGACACGTTTGTGCTAATTTAATGTGGCAACCCCACGTTGCCCATAAACCAAACCAACACCCTGCCTTAAGAAAAAACTAAAAAATTCATACAAACATTATAGTGAAAACATGCTACATTTGGTAATAGTATAGTAAATTTGTATGTTGATAACAATTTTTACTAATCGGAATACTTTTGGGGGCTTGAAAGATGTTTTGTTAAACTAAAAAAGCTTTAAAAAAATGAATAATGAAATATTAGAGTATAAATTTTTATATGTGAATTTGCACAACATGACAAAATGCACATTCACACAAACATTTTAATTGCCACAAAATTCAAGAATATTTCTTCATCTTCTCTACACTCTATTTTGTGTTCTTCAATTTTAACATTTTAAACAATTGAATAGTATTTCTCCTTTTTTTGTTGCCTGAATATTTTATCTATTTTCTTAATGGTGAAATTAGGCGGCGATCAATAATGTATTTTGTGTTGTAATTTTACACAGACACGCACATGCATATATATATATGTGTGTGTGTGTGTGTGTGTGAAATTTGCACTAAATAGGACTAAAACATGGCTTTCCTAATGTAGGACTTAGACTTTTTTATTCTCTAAATAGGACTAAATAATGACCTCGTGGGAGGAATAATGTCTAGTAATGCTAGACATTTACAGGAATGCTAGACATTTACTTGAATAATGATTACTTGTTAATGACCAAAAGTCCTACATTGGGAAATAAAAACAAATGGTCCTATATTGGGAAAGTCATTATGTTTTAGTCATATTTAGGTAAATTTCTCTCTCTCTCTCTATATACATATACATATATATATATATATATATATATATATATATATATATATATATATATATATATATATATATATATATTGATGATAGTAATACAGATGGGTTTTACATTTACTCACTTTGAGTAACTTCAGATAACATCAGTTTTAATTGAGGACTTATGGTGCTACATTCATGAAATTGATATATATGGTTCCTACCCCAGACACTATAGTAAACCCTCCCACCCCAAAGCCAATGACTATAGAACTATTCTGATAATAGTAATATTATTATTATTATTATTATGAAAAATGCAAGTAAATATCTTTTAAATCACTATTGAAAGGATTGAGAAGAAATTAGAAGAAACTAGAAAGAGTATGAAGAAATTTGAATAGTTAGAAGAAATTGCAAAAATTTAATTCGAAAAAAGTAGAAGGGTTGGAAGATATAAAAAGAAATTAGAAAACATTACTATGTACTACCTCCGTCCCAGAGTATTTGTCCACTTTCATTTTTACACACCATCCAATGCACTTTATTAATCCATTTTATCTTGTAATTTGTATATTAAAAAATTATAGAAATTATATATTAATAATCTATATGTTAAGACAAATCAAACAAGATCACACATGACTATATTTAGGCTTACACATTGAGAGAATTTGATGAGTCAAAGTGCTTAGATGAACAGTTCCAAAAGTCAAAAGTGGACGAATATAGCGGGACGGAGGGAGTAGGAGTTAAGGGGGTATTTGCTTGTGAGAAAATATATTTCTAGATAGTTGTTTTTGAGGAAGACAATTTCAACGAAAAATATTCTCCCTCTCATTTTCTATTGTTTAATAAAAAGTTTTTTATCACAAAAAACAAAAATATTCCATCATTTGTTAGCAATTTTTTTAAAATTAATACTTGGTCCGTCCCTGAGTGTTTATCCACTTTTAACTTTTGGAACTGTTCATCTAAGCACTTTGACTCATCAAATTCTCTCAATGTGTAAGCCTAAATATAGTCATGTGTGATCTTGTTTGATTTGTCTTAACATATAGATTATTAATATATAATTTCTATAATTTTTTAATATACAAATTACAAGATAAAATGGATTAATAAAGTGCATTGGATGGTGTGTAAAAATGAAAGTGGACAAATACTCTGGGACGGAGGTAGTACATAGTAATGTTTTCTAATTTCTTTTT